CTAATGAAGCTCGTTTTTCGGAAATATACACAATATCTTTTTTTTTTTATTCTAGCACCAGAAAAGATTAACCGAATTGCTTGAGTTGAAAACTCTGCATCAAATATAACATTATTCGTATATAGTCAACAATAGAAAAAAGCAAAAATCGAAACCCAAATATATCGACTAGTTTAAGTTTTAAAAAGTTTCAACATCCAAGTACAAACATAAAACTTGAACCCCCATTTAATTTGACATAACTTTACTTGGTTTCGGAGAATAAAGAATGCCATAAAAACCATATTAAACAACTTAGTTTATAGCTGCCTACAATATGGATACTTTCTAACTGTATATTTGGCAATGTCAAATTGAACTGAACTCTGTGTGTGTTCGGCAAGCGATTTAGCAAAACTATTTGGACAGCATACGTATGCTTTATAGTTCGTCGGAGAAGTGCAAGCAAAAGCAAATATCAACAACAACAAGCGCTTGTCGTTGATGTTGGTAGGCGTGTTATTGCTGTGCTTTGCTTTTGCTTACACAAAATTGTCGACACAGCGACGCATTGAAAACATCACAACATCCGCCAATAGATTTCCGGTTAGCAGTTGAGTGTAGGCAAAAATACAATTCACACACACCTATACGACGAACAAATGCCGCCGTAAACGTAAATATGCGCGTGTTGTTGTTGAAAGGAAGGCCGAATGCTCTCGAAAACGGATGTGCAAACAAAGACCGCCCAAACACACAAACACCTACATGTCACTTACATTGTTGAGCCAAATAACGAGCCGTTAAATCATAACAACAACAATGTGTTAAATGAGAATTTATCGCCGGCAACGGTGTTAAAGCAACGAAGATGTGCCGACAATAGCCAATAATGTTGCCGATGGCTCTGTGGAATATAATAATAAATGGAATATTATAATGACGCGATGCAAAATATATGTGTATGCAAGAGTATATATATTACATACATATATAATAGGTTGTCAAAAAAGTCTTGCGGTATTTTTATTGAATTTTTTTTTTCAATTTTCAATTGTTCATAAAATGCTACGGCTGCTACAATGCCGTGTCTCTTTCGACCAATTCAGCGATTTTATCGCAATTTTCGACGACAGGCCTTCCGGCTGTCTCTTATACACATCTAGATGTGTATAAGAGACAGGATATATATATATATATATATATAAATAAACAGAAGTTAGAATATATGTATGTAAGACAAAAATTCACTCTGAATAAAAAAAAAAAAACGAGCTCTCATTGACAGTCGTCAATGCTTGGAAAGTGGCGAATCGAACATACAAGTAGCTTAAATGAAAAACATATAAACCTGAAACAACAACTATTTAACCAGCTCAGTTTGCATCCTTTCACGTCTTGAATTCTATGAGATCCATGTAGTAACTCTGTTCTTGCTCCCATTATTTACTAGCCCTGTAATGATAGACTCGATCAGCCGTTAAATTGATTTTTCGTTTCGTTTATATTCTTCCCACGAAGTTTCGATGCTCCATCTTAAAATTTTCTGCTTTTCTTTGGACTGTTCTAACAAACTGATGAAACTAAAAGTTCAGCGTTGTCCCACGAACGTCTTTAAACTTTTTGAGGAATCTGCATTTTATAATATGAAGCAAAAGTATCCAACAATGATTTACATAAACTCTAAAATTCAGTATTTTCATGATTAACACCTCAACAAAAGTGAACTCCAAAAAAGTAAATGAACCTTAGACCTTTAGATCTTTAATTAAATCAGATTTGAGATAAGAAGCTTCTGTACATCACAACTTGTAACATGAAGATTCATTGCCATTGGAACGGCTACAACAGCCGAAATGCAGCTTGACTAAGCCACCTAAATGAAGTCTATCATGTATTTTTTTTAGAAGCTAGCTTTTTGTTGGAGTCTATAATCTAATCTATTAATAAGAAAAGTCTTCATGAATATTTTGGTACAAACTGACATTTCTGTTGGTATCAATTGAATACTTAAATTCAAAAGAAAAATAATGATTTCTTATTTCACGAAAAGCAAATAGATCGTTAGCTACCCATAAGAACTCGACAACGGCTTGACCTATTTGTACAAAATTTATTATATTCGTCTTATAATATACCAGGGATAAATTTTTTTTGCAAACTGATATTATCTATATAGAGAGATATGAGCATTTTCTCATACTATATCTTTTTTATATAAGCAAACTAATATGCTTTAATCAGCAAAGTTCCTACCAATTGTGCATACTCAAATCCAAAGCAGAAATAATGATTTTGAATTTCTCGAAAAGCTACCCATAAGAACTCAACAACGGCTCGACCGATTTGTCTAAAATTTGTTATATACGTGTCTTAATATCGAAGTACTTTATAGTATATTAACTATTTTTTAATAAACATATGTTATTTTATATAATCAAACTGGCACGTTTTCACCAGTGAATAAATTGGTTTTAGAATATCTTAAGTCATGAAATAATGTTTAAAGGGATGCCACTTATTTGTATGTCAATCCGCAATATCAACCATTTTTAAGTATTTTGGCAATAAACAGTTTAATACTCCAAAAAGGCATACAATTTGCAGACGAAACTCAGCGGCCATAACAATGACTTGCAAGAAAGCGCAATAAAAAAGCAAATTACTAATTTTTTATATCCAACGTAAAAGCCTAAATACTGCTACAAAAACACCCATATTTTCCGCACTTGTAGCCAGCGCAGACTAATAATTGAAACTATGCCCTCACGTACACTCCTCTACACAAGAACTTTATTTCTTTCAACAATTCATTTTCGCTTTGTCTTCTTTTTTTGTAGGTGGGCCCATTATCATGGCATGCAATGTACAACCACAACAACAGCAACAGCAGCAAAGCGAACAGCACAACTCATTAAGGCAACAATGTATTAGGCCACAGCAAGAGCAACAGCAACAACAAGCACGATCAACATCACTGCAAGAAGACCATCAAGAACAAGTACAATCTCTGCAACAGCAACAAAAAGCGATAGAGCAGCATCAAGCTACGGCAGAATGGCAGCAATTGCCACAGCAGCATGGGCAAGAGTCGACGATGCAACGGCAGCAGCAGCAGCAGCAACAACAGCAGCCAACCAGCAGCTGGCGTTGCTCGTTGCAAGCAACAATTAATTGGTTGCATCGTCCGGCTACAAGCGTCACGTTGTTGTTGCAATTGCTGTTGTTGCTGTCGACAAATACAGCGGCACGTGGCGAAGGCAATGTCGGTGAGTAGCAAAGCAATTTATTTTTTCTATAGTGTGGAGACACGAAGCGATTTTACGAACTAAGCGCACGAAAGTATGCTTCTCTGACTCATATTTGTAAGCAAATGCACGCACAGTTGCTCTCACATATGACCGAGTGCGCCATTATTGCATTGCGGGTCAAAGTACAAAACAATGTGTTGGAATTCCCTTACCGTTATTGGCACTGTGTAGTTGCTCTACTGCGGGGCGTCTAAATTACACTGGTGCCACTTGATGCCCAAAATTACTAACCACACTGGTTTTGCTCTTGACTTTGCCTTTTGCTATTTGCGAAATTAACTTGCTACAGCAAATATGTGTACCGTTATGTACAAATGTACATTTATGTGCTTTCTGCTTGTAGCGCACTATTGTTACTTTGTAGTACTTTGGGGCTGATTACTAACTGTTGGCGAGGAATTTGATGAGTAAGCCTTGATTTGCACAAAGAACAGTTTGTTGTTTGGAAAATATGCATATGAAAATTTAGTTGTAATTACTAAGTGTACACATTGGTGACGTTAGAGTATGGAGGTGAAAAATTAGGCCAAATACGGAACACTTATAAACAATAGACTTATTCAGTCTTTCTTGGAAAAATCTAACAAGTTTTTACATAAATATTAACTCCAAAGCTAAAAATCCGCAGAAAATTATATAAAAAAATCGAGCGTTAAGTGGGTTCTTATTATTGATAGATGCTCCACATTTGAGTTTTTCGTGTTATGCCATGTTGTGTTAAGTTATGTTAAGTTCTGGTATACTAGTTCAATTCCGTTATGTTCTATTATGTTATGTTGCGTTAAGTTATGTTATGTTAAGTTAAGTTATGTTGCATTAAGTTTAGCCAAGTTAAGTAAAGTTTTGTTAAGGATGGTAAAATTATGTTATGCTATGTTATGTTAAGTTATGTTATGTTAAGTTGCGTTATGTTAAGTTAAGTTATGTTAGATGGTATATCATAGATTGTGTATGTAAATTGACGATAGCAGCACTAAACAAATCTGAAGAAAAAATTTGCCACTGATGGAAAAAAAGTATATAGGGTATTTGTCCACATTAAAAATTTGAGTTCAAAAAGGTTCCATTATGTACAACTATTTTGGTCACTTTAGTAAATGGTAGTGATTTGACACCTATATCTCTTGACTACAGCGCAAAAAATCCTACGTTTTCGGAAATTTTTTACTTTAACTTTCGGCTTTAGCAAGAAACTACTAATGTAATCAGTGGGTCAATGAAAAACAATAAAAAAGCAAGACATATGCTAAATTTTTTTTTCTCGAGAAAGACCGACGATATCCCAAAAAATGGTTCTGTTATATCAATATCATAATCAATAACAGTTCAGATTCAAGATGTGTCGATGAGCATCCATCTTTCGTACTTGGAGACTCTGAATTTCTTGACATTTCTCTTAAGACAGGATTACCGGTCGGGTTCAGAACCTTGAACCGAAGTATTACGAATCAAATAAAGTACTATATCTCTCAAATTATCTCCTAATAAACTATTTGAGGATCTACCAAATTTGACTGAAATTAACACAGATCTCATCGAAAAGTATTTCTCAAAAAAGCCTTGGGATGTTATAAAACTGATTTTAAGCGTCCAGGTCGCAAAAGTTTTCAGTTCTCAAAAATTAATTTATATTTAAATTTGGTACAAGCATGAGTAATTTTGTAATTTTCGTAAATTTTTCAATCAGATATGCATATATGTATAACTTACCAGATTATTGATCCATAACCGCTCTTTCAATAACCGAAACATTATTGAGCCTGAAATTGAAATAAAAATGTGTACAGTTAGTACCAAAATATTACAGTTATATACATAGGAAATAAAAATTGACTTTCTAAAAGTAAATTAATACTTTTCTCAAATAATTTTTATGAGATTACAGTATTCCTGGTTTTCTTGAGATTTTAAGATTCTACCAAAAATGAATAACTAATTACTGTACATAAATATATGGTTCTTAAATTGAAAATTAACTAAAAATTTTTACCAGTTGAGTGCAGTTTTAAATATCCACTATTATATAATATCACCGCGCTTAAATGTAGGCACTGAAAAGTTTCTAGAGCATACTTTTGTCGCAAAAATTAATTTTTTCAAAGAATCTCCTTAGAAACGAATGTGGTTTCGTCTTATAATATATATCACAATATTTGAACTAAATTACAAACGGCTACTTCTTTAGTAAGACCCACTTTCTACCACAACAAACAATTACATAACAGCTAATAATTCTTTGTAAATTTAAAATGAATACAATTTAATCAGCAAGTAATACAAATAGTGCTGTTTTTAAATGTAATTGGAAAGCAGTTTGCAGTTACTTACATAATTATATTTACCCAGCGAGTGACTGACACACATACCATACATATTTACAGTTAAAAGAGAGTACATAAATAACTTTGGTGTATGTATATAAATACTTCCTATAACCCACATGACAAACGACGATACTCCTCCACATGTACGACGAGCTCATAGAAATGGAATTACAATTACAAATGATCAAATAACAACCGGACTGGGTCCTGCATTCAATTTAACTACATTATAATGCCATTTCAACTAAGTTCATGCGCCAAATGCACGTAGGAGCCGCAGCCAGTGGGTAGAGCGAAGTCTGCAGGGAGCGTTGAAAGTTAGCTTAGGTTGGAAATACGAAATTAGAATAGGTCGATGAATGTTAGAGAGGGGAGCAGATGATATGAAAACGTAATATGTACGTGATGTATGTATGTGTATTGGTTGGTGAATAGCAGACAGGGAGTGCACATACACTGTGGCCATAACGGTATAAATGAATGGTGGTAACAAACAGAATAGGTAAATCAAATGAGGTGGGTCTGCGGTGCGGTGTGATGGTGGCGCCCAACATAGCAGACTACGTGAATTACGATTCAACCGAAGACTGCCGTGGCGGTGAGCCGTAACTTGTGCAGACCTATGTAGTATTATGTATATACGTAACTGTGTGGTTTGGAATCAGGTCAAATGTGGCATAACAATTTAATGAGCTTCCGAAAAATTTCCCATGGCGAAAATTAAAATTATATGAGCGTTGAGCAATGAGTGTAGGTGCATAGATGATTTGATGAAAGTTCGTTTTGGAATTTATATGAGAGCGAGAGCGAAGGAGATATGCATAATTTTATGCTGGTTTATTAAAATGAATTGCAAATTTATTTAACCAAAGCTATGTATCAAACATTTTTAATAATTTTTATTTTTTTAATGTATTGTTTAATCAGTATATAGCAAAAGGACAGTGGCAGTAACTAAGATACGAAATCAAGCGTTGAGAACTGGTGGTTCAAGCCACGAAATTTTAACACTGAAGAAATTAGTATTTATGAGTACCCTCATATTTTAACTGGTTATTCTTTATTTTAATCCCTTTACAACTCTCATTAAAATTAATTGTATTAATGACTTAATTAGTTGAAAAGTTGGTAACGATTTTTTGTGCTAACAGCTCTCAGTGTATTTGTGCTCTTTATCTACTAATTTTAATAACTACGTTGGCAGCGAAATTAATTTAAAACCATTTTTAAATCAACTGCAACATGAATACTTAAGAGTACCATTAATTATTATTAATTAGTAAATTGTGGTCTATACAACAGGTAAGCGTTTGTTTATTGAGAAAAATAGGAAATTAAATGAAATGAATGAAAATTGTTAAGCTAAATCAAATTATTTTTAATATCAAATGAAAGAAACTAAAAAAAAAACACAAAATCGGCATTGATGATAGTACTTGAAGAATTTTTTAACATATTTCATTTCAAATCACATTCTATAGCAGACCAAATATGCTAAGAATCGCAGAGTATGGCAAAAGTGGCTTAAAAAGTTAAAAAAAAAAAAATGGTAACTCCACTGATTGCCATACCTTACTATTTTTCACAGCGATCAATTACTTTTCTTGCTGCAGTTTGGAATAATTTCACCAAGTAATTTTTCTTGTTTTACCTACAGAAAGTCAATCGAAAATCTATTGAGTATTTCCTAAAAAATATTGATTACTAAATTAAATGATTGGTTAGTTAGAGACAAGGAGAAATTATAATCTAAATATATTAAAGAAAGACGTATTAGTTACACTATTTACAACTCAAGAACGGCTTAACCGATTTGATCGAAAATTGGTGGAGAGATAGCTTAGAACCAGGTGACAGATATAGGATACTTTTTATATCTTTATGTTAAATGTCAATACAATTCATAAGTACCAACAATAAATTCAAATCATGAGCATGTGTTAAAAATTCATGTAGGAATCATTTGAAAATTGTATTACTAGAAAAAAGAAAAGAATAAGTAAAAAAAAAATTATAACAACAAACAAGCTAATGCGGGAGAACACTATTTTTCGTAAAATAGAACCGTAACCAAATTCGTAGTGCTGATGCCATAACCTTGCCAGCCGACTTTTTCGTCTTTTCAAGCTTGAGAACCGGTTCATAATATGATGTCCACTAGGCTGACTGTCGATTTTACTCCAGTTGGATATGATGGAGATATCTTTCCATTGTCACATACCGAGTAAAAAGTTCGATTTAATTACGATTTAAAGGGCACTCAAACAATCCCCAGAATCAGAACTTTGTTGTTTTTTATAATAAACTTATGCAGCACCCCATTTGCACAGAGCTTTTCCGTCCACTGACTTCATTTTCCTCGATGCTTACTTTGCCAGAACCCAAGTTTAATAGCATATTACCCCAAAAAGCAAAACTAACACAAGCTAGTTCACCCAAAATTCTTCACCTCATTAACTAATAATTCCTCAGTAGCTAAATTTGTATACGTAGCTTTTAAAGGTAGTGGCTGACTAGATGTCATATAGATTGTATTAATGGTACGATCTATGTGTTAGCCAAAGTAAAGATGGGTCCTCTAGTTTAAAATAAATTAAATTATTTTATTTTATAAAAGCAAAAACGTAGCAACATTATATATGATTTCGATTTAACATGAAAAAATTAAAAAAAAAAAATAAAATAACTTAATACATTGAAAAGTAAAAGATGATGCCACTTGCGGTGATCTAAATCACGCAAATCAATCTTAATGAACAACGGACTCAAGAGTTTTTTTTTCACATCCTCGATCCTTTCTAGAGTACTCGAAAACCCTTTGCTAATTATCGAGTAACTTGGATTTATTTAAAATTTTCAAATATTATTTCTAATATATTTTGCAAAAACTAAAACACGATTTTTTATGTATTTTTGTACAACAAAAACGAAGACATTCAACGTCGTAATAAGTTCGTTTGACCATGAATCTACAAATTTAAGAGGATTTTCCTATTTGGGTTATGTAATATAACCTTCTAGTAAATATTATTTAAATTTGCATTTATAAATTTGAAGGTATTTTCATAAAGCCACTCTCAAAAAAATCCTTGTCAAAAATCTTTTTTAACAAAATCATTCGCATTAGACAACAATCGGTGGTAATTATTATACATAAGACCCCCAACTGACAGGTGAATGCATAAATACTTCCAAATGAGCTACCGGAGCATTTCGGCGGTAACTATACTATTGGATAAAGCCAGATACCTCTGGACGATTGCTTGCTTCAGACAGGCCAATTATTGACAGTATATGTCCGAATAAAGGATCTTGTCGTAGAGGAAAATCAGTGCTTACATGACGATTTCCCTTCTTTTTATCGATATTTTTGTCTATTGGCTTTGCAGCACATGTTTCATTCCATAAGTCAGTCGGGGTTAATGCGAAAGGCGCCGAATCTATTATCCACACTCTTCGTGTACACTCTCAGCCACAGCTGCTATATTATCTTCACTGCTTGCTTAAAGGCGTCTATTCGGTTGAATATTAGAATATTGAATGTTGGGTCTCAAGATGGGTGATGGTGTTGTGAATGGTACGCTCAGAAGACCGATTATGTTGACCAAGAATTGAGCGAAGCGAGCGAAAAGCACTCTACAGATCGCGAATTTTCATAATAAAGTTGAACGATTTGCAAACGTTGTTTAAGCAAGTCTGTTTGTGATGAAATACCCAACAAGAGCAAAAAAAATAATATGACAGCTTGACACGACTCACGGTGATCTGTCAAGAAAAGGGTACCTTCACTCGGATCCCCCCCTTACATTTTTAATAATAATTAAGAGATTTCAGTACACATGTATTTGGGGTTCATGAATAATATACATACAATGTACATACATGTTAATATACTCTTGTGTGCCCGAGAGCAAAAGTTCAAACTACTGCTTTAATAATTACAAACACACTTTGGTTTTCATGATTTCAATGAAATGCAGCAACTTTATGTTATTTTTTTTTTTTTTTTTTTTTTTTTTTTTTTTTTTTTTTTTTTTTTTTTTTTTTTTTTTTTTTTTTTTTTTTTTTTTTTTGGTGAAACCGAAATTTTTTCCTTAATCATGTGTGCCCGTATGGCCTTTGTGCCACACATGGTACAAATTAAAAACAACTGCAAGGATGTGAAATTTCAACTGCTGCAATGCATCAATTATACAAATGCAAATACACAACATAGAATATAGAGAACAGATAGTTCGTACAAGCAATGCAGTTGAGCTTTCAAAGCGATTCGCACACACACGCATACACGCGCAAGCTTGAGGAAAGGAACGTATGAGAAGTCAGGCACGTGTACCAAACATACATATGCATACATATGTGTGTGTGGCCGCACGAGTGTGTTTAAAGTAAGCATATTTAAAAATGAATACACCAGGCCATATGTAAATCGAAAT